CCCTCGGGCTGAGCCCACCTTCCTCACCGGGGAGGGGAACAGCCTTCCTTCCCCTGCTGTGCTGCAGGGAAGGGGCTCACCCTGCCCCACAGCCCATGCCCTCTGCCCTGGCCCTCCTGGGCTCCAATTCTCTCCCTCCCTCAGCCATCAGGGGACCTAAACTAAGGAGAAACTCTAAGTATCCAGTGAGTAACATATCCTCCGTGTTGTTGCTGCTGAAAAGCATGGTCTGCTGCCAACCCAGAGCACAAAAAAAACACCAAAAAAGAGTTCTTAGAGTTCTTCGGCCTTGAACAGCGACAAAACTACTTAAAGTACTTTTTGGGAAAAAGTGCACCTACCTACCTTTGGGGGAATAACCTGTGGGATGAGCCACACGGTTCGTGTATCACGGCTTGGAGCACAGCCCAGGCGTCGCTCATGTCGAGGTGTTTGCCTCCCCGGCATCATCTGCAAAAACCAAGTCACACCTGCTTGGCCCACACGTGGCCAAACCACAGCCTGTCTCCCAGCTGCCCCGGAGCTGTCTCCCAGTCCTGCCAAGGAGCTCGGGCAGGACCAGCCCTCCCAGAGCCATCTGAGCTGCCTGTGAGCTCACCTACTCACCCAGCTCACGCGGACGCAGCTCCACCACTGGAAACCTGGGAAGAGCTTGAGCTGGGGATATACTATCACATTCAAAACAATAAAATCTTTTTCCTTGCTCTAGTGTGAAAAAGCCTAACCCTAAAGTGGAGGCTTTCTGAGGCAGACTTTTCTAATACTCATTTTACTTAAGTTTTGATAAAAAAATGTGAATGATCACTTTTTCTTTTTTTCTGCCAGACAGCAGAACGTGATGAATGTCTGAAATGTAATGTATTTATAAGGTTTCTTTGTGCTACAGTTAAAACCTATTAAGCTTTGGAAAAGCTGAATTGCAAAGGGGAATGAAATGGAAACTTATTTGTTCATTTGAACTTCCAAACTCAGACTCTAAGATTTGGTACGACGGGGAAATAAAAGGTGAATCACTGAATCCTGGGCCATCAATCATTTCATTTTAACCACGGTAAACAGGAGAAAAAGGGAGAGAAAAAGAAAATACAACCAAAGTTGTGAACATGTTGAAACTTCAGGGGAAATAAGTTACCACGTGGTAACCATGGGTATCCTACGCCAAACCTCAGCAGAGGTCACCAGAACAAGCCAGCAAGCCAAACCTAAATAAAAATAGGACCTATGGGATTGCCCATCTGATTTTCACATAGTCACTGCTGCAACACCATTTGTCAAGCTCGCAGGGTAGTTTTTTACCAGATGTGAGAGAGACAGTACCAAAGCCAGGCTGAAGCCAGAGAGAAGAGCGTGTATGCTTCCACAAGGGAATAATCTGCCCAGGAAGGTCTGTAAAGTCCAGCATTCCACTGAAACCTCCCAGATCCCCCAGTGCTGCAAACTGTGTTTTAACAGTTCCACAAGTGAGATGTTTTTGTCATTGAAAGCGAGATGTTAAAAGGACCTGTCTTGCTGTGTAAAGGAAGGATTAAACTGCCTTTTCTCCTATTTTTTGGTATATTTTGCATGTGGGAGAACAAGTTCTATGTGTGCAACCAAACCCATCACCTTGCCGTTATGTTCCCCTTCTTCCACAGATTTATGGTGTAAGTTCATGTTCTCAAAATATCTTTAATGGACCCAACATTTTCTGTCCATGGATTTCCAGGTGCGGTTTGTGCCTCTTAGATAGCAGAGAATTCTCTTTGGGGGTCATTAAAAGTCATTAAATGAGCCTGCTTATGAGAAACTAAGGGACCAGTCTGGTTTTTGGGGTTTTAGTTCTCATTCTTGATTTTCACTGTTACAGCTTTTTACTTGCAACATAAAGTCTACCTGCTGAAGAAGTCACGTGACTCATCTGGTACTATTTGTAAAACACTGTAAGATTCCTGAGGGAGGGGGAAGTTGAACAAAACCAATGCATTGCTAGTAAAATTTGTTGCATTCAGATGTCAAGGAAATACAAACATCCTGAATGCAACTTTGCAGCATTTTTGGAATCACTTCCCATAATAGCTTCATTCCATTCAAATGAGTCAGAAACAAAACAGACTGAGAGCAGACAAACTTTGAAATACTTAAAAATTCTTTAATTCAATTTTTCATGATAAAGACTTTTAAAAGGATAATTATTTTGCAGGCAGTTACTAAAAATCTACATTTAAAATCTAAATGTAGAGCAATTAGTGACAGGATAACAACAACTGTATCTAGACTTACTTTGCTGTCTCAGAAGTACGTCTCAGTATATTTTAGCTCTCATTTCTCTGTGAATTAAAACACTGGTGTTGTTATGCTGCTTATCAGGGAAGGCAGTAGGTTGTATAGTTATCTCCTGATTGGGGCAAAATCACTACCCTGAAACCACACAACCTACTACCTCATCCTGTTAGAGCATCATGCACATCTTCTGAAGGAAACCAACATTTCACCATTTGCACACACGTTCTATCCCACCCACTTCTGTAACTGTGGCCTGCTGACCCTTCCTCACAGTTCCACTGGAAGTCAGTCAGAATGGCTGAGGTGACTCCAGAGACATCACAACTGCAGTGCAAACACTGTCCCTCCCAAATTAGCAATATGTAACAAAAAGCAAGTGAAATTAGGATCCAAAACTGATTAAAGAGATCTCTCACTTAGGGCTCAAGCATTTACCAGTTCCAGGGCAGAATACGAGCGACTGGAAGATATCCTCTTTGGTTTTTGTCCAGCTCATCCCTTTGCAGTTTCTCAAACAGCCGACACAAAGTGGATTTAAACAGCTGCTGACTCCAAAGTGGCATTTTCTGTTGACCATGGACACAAATGCCAGAAGGTAAAGGAAAAGTGGGTCAGCTGTTTCCAGAGGGCCACTCTCACGGCAGCGCAGGAACGCTGGGCATGAGCAAGTCCACTGCAGACTGGGAAAAGGGCTCACTCACACCCCACCTCCTCTGAGAAAACCACAGAAAGGAAATGGCTTTTGGGCCTGAATGGGAAATAGAGCAATCTAAACACTGTAAGGACCTTTGTGTACAAGAGCCAAATGCAATGTACAGACAGAGCCAGGGAATGTTACAGTTGCAAAATCTCTGTGTTGTCTTTCAAAGGCACATCCAGCGCTGGTATCACAGCCACTTCAGGAAAGACAGTAGATTGTATAGTTATGTGACAGGCAGGGCATAGCCCTAAAACTATACAACCTACTACCTCACCCCAAAGGACAGTCAGACTCTGATCAGATGAAGCACAAGCTGTATTCCCAGACAGCTGGATTGCTTGGTGACAACCTAGAAGACAAAAAGCTCTGGAGACAAATATTAGCAGTCTTGAATTTGAAACAGTTTGCTATATACCAGACAACATTCTGCTTAATGAGCTCTAGTTTCATGTTTGAAATGTTTAATAGATTTGCAACTTGTGAAGTCATGTCAGTGACAAGATACACGAGGGAAAGAGGATACAGCATTCATTTTTAATAACTGCACTTGTGTACTTCCAACTCTGACACAACTGTATCCTATCAAACCAGTCTGTCACTCTGGGAGCAGGCACTGCTATGACTCAGAGAGAAGATGCTGACTTAGAGGGATTGTACAGCATGCTCCTAGATATTCCTCTATTATCCTAATGGGGAAGAGCTGAGGCTCTCTAACTTAATTTCCCAAGTCCCACATGAGTAAATCCCTAAGACTGAACAAAGGATTTCTCAAGACTGTGAGGAACTGTTGTGGCCTACTCAAACACCACACTAGTCCTGACTGAGCATAACCCAGCTCTGAACTGAGCACCAGACCAATAGACCCTGCTGGACCACATACACCTTGCTCAGGGGGGCTAGCAGAGCTGCCACTACAGCACCAACTACTGTCACCTCAAACCTGTGCTGCAGTTTGAGGGGGTTGTTATTCCCCACCGCATGGTTTGACGGACAACACTTCACATTCAGGGCAGATCTAAAGAAGTGGAAATCTGAGGAATCAGTCAGTATTGTAGTATAAATACTGCTTAAATAAATAAGTAAACCTTTAAAGTAAAAGGTACCATATAATTCAATCAGCTAACTTCCCTTTTGCTAAGTCAACTAAGGAACACAATAACTGATGCACCCATCAGCCCCATGCAGAGAAAGGAAAGCAGATCTTACCCCGAAGGTCACACTGCAGGGGACTGAAGCCATCTGCCCTGGCTTTCAGCATCACTGATGTGGGGACCTGAAAAGAGAGGAGCAAGACAAAACACACCCATCTCAATAGCATTTTGCTGCACACTGAAACGATTATAAGGTGGGAGAGAGCACAGGGAAAAGCCGAGAGCAGCTTCCTTCTTGAGGAGAACCATGCACAGCACCAGCTTTCCCATTCACTTTTACTACCACAGTTTCACTACGGCCCAGGGCAGGACCCTGACTCAAAAGAGACAGGCAAGAGGAAAGTAGAGTGAAAAGAACAGATTTTTTTGGATTGACTTGAGTGTTAAGAGCATTGGAGAGACAGGCAGAGAGAGGTATTAGCTCCTTCAAGGAACAAACACTTTTAAATGAAGCAGAGAAGGAAGAAGAATGCAGATGTCTGACCAAATTAGATACCAATGTGCTAACTATAAAAGCCTGTACCATCCATGTCAAAGATCATTTCACTGCAGGGGCCTGAGACCATGTGCAGAAAGAGGTCACTGTTGCTGGGAGCTGCACATGGTGCCGTTTGTGCACAAGGCAGGACTGGTGCGACTCTGACCACACTGAGGTCACTGTGGTGGAGGAAACACTGTCCAACCCTGTATTTCACATCTTGGAACCTCAATGCCCTTGCAGGCCAAACAGGATACACACTGTAATATTCTCTGTAGGCCACACTGAAGGAACAGCTTCAGAGATTTCAATATCTCACCCATGTCAACTGTGCACGACTGGTAGGAGAAGCCACTCCCTGACCACTGTCAAAGAAATCCTTTGGGAAAGCTCTTCAGCAGAAAGCCTGACAGTCTTCTCTATGTACTGAGGGGTTTTAAAGTCAATTGCTCTCAGAATAATCCTCTGAAAAACGCCCTACCCCGTGCCTCTGGTTCTTAGATCAAATATTTAAAAATAAACATCATCTTTGTGCATGCAGTCAGAGACCTCAGTATTTTTCCTAAGAGCCAAGAACTTGCATTGGAGCTTTGGCTAAAATTCTGTGCCATTTCAGCAACCTGTGAGTTGTGCAGTCACCTCTCAGGAAGTGCTTTCTGTGTAAAATAAACCCTATGCTTATATCAACAGAACCATATTACATAACATAATTGGAGGAAAGCTGTGCATTGTGTGACTGACTTCAAAGTGACACTTTTGTAAGCATTTACTTTGAAGTGGAAGGATTAAAACAACATAACTTTTCAGAGTAGCAACTCTTTATGCTGGATGGTACAGCGAAACCAGTTCAAAGGACCAGTCTGGCACTAAAAGGATGATTCACAGTAGTGAAAAGCCCAAACAACCCCACAGACCCAACCAACTCCAACAACAGGGAATTTTGGATGAAGAACTTACACTTACAGCTGATTCCAGAGACTCTAAGAAGAAAGACAGATCCAAATAGTGGCAAGCTCCTGGAAACCCTGAGTATGTTCCAGGGATTTCACTGCCTGTCTTTAATATATGTGGACTTCACTTTCAGTTTCAGGTGCAGTGCTAGGTGAGAGAGCTAAAAATATTCACCCCTGTTGAAAAAAAGGTGAACTTTTATTAACCATTTCTAAAGGATGCTCTTATTCGCTGTGATAACTATCTTAAAGACTCTTTTCTCTAGGTGCAGTTGATGTAATGTTGCCTTAATATATATTTTCCCACAAAAATAGTAGTTTGTTAATTCATAAAGATATTGAGATAATTATTTGTAAAGCACCATAAACTCTGTGTAATACTATTTTCTGTAAGGTCTGTTATTATGGGTATTAGTAATACTCATTAGCAGACAAAACCAGAAAAGAATGTGTTTTATCCAACACCTAAAATTAATTAGTCTTCTGCTCTCACATGCTGCTCATAAACTTAATTGACTTAGATCACCAAACAAGGATGAACTTTAAAATACTTAATGAAAGAAAAATGCATGTTCATTTTCCTTCTATGAAGACGACAGGCACAAGAAATAACTATCTGGCAAGAGTTATGCTTCTAGTTTAACAACTGTTTAATACTAGGAAAAATATGACATTTCCATATTCCAACTCTCACTGCTCACTGAAAAATGTCTTGGAACTGATGTTAATAAGTACCTCGACAGTCACTTTTAAAAAGGCACAGGGCCAACCAAGTCTGCTATTTCTGTGATGTTATAGGGAAGCAGACAGTTTTAAAGCAGGGTTGTTATATAATTAAAAGCCTTACTAATGAACAGGCTCTTGGACAGCACAGAACAACCATTTTGCGATCTCTGAGCACCTTCCACCCAAAGCCTCCTGAGGATTTCCAAAGGCTGAGTGTCCCTGGGCTCCCAGGAGGAAGGGGAATGCCGTGTGCTCTCAGGGGCACTGTGATTCCACAACAGGGGAGAAGAGGGCCTGGAGCCCCTCCAAGGTGGGGACATTCCCCAGCAAGGTGTGAGGCTGGATGCAGGACAGGTCAGAGCTATCCAGTCCCTCTCCATGTAACAATTACCTTGGCTCCCCAAGTGGTGCAGTCACCACTCTGCTCCCACAGACTGAAAATGTCACCAACGTTTGCTGGCAAGAGCACTGTGGGGCCAATGGCTGAGGATCTGCTGTGGTGGGTGCTGCAGCCAAGGGGAGCTTTGACAAATTCAACAGGGCCTGGATCAGGCAGCAAACTGAATGGCCACATCTTTCTTTCTGGGCAGGACTGTGCCAGAGCAGTATCATGGCAGGGAACTTCCCTGGAGATTTTACATAGAAATTTCTTGGTGGAGGGAAGGATTTGGTTTCCTTGGATCTGTGTATGACAAACTCCACACATAGTGTTTTAAAATATATTTTTAGCTGAATATAACAAAAATGACACACTGCCTTGCATGTTCAAGAAGTAAAAAATATTCTACAAACACAGATGTTGTGACGCCTGTGAAGTACAACATGTATAGTGTCTTACCCATCACTTAAATACAGCTGTTCCTAAAATGGCAAACAACAGCTCTTTGCCCAGTTGTGAAACTTTCCTGTAATTTAATGATACAGGACAGATTCTGCCAGAACTTCAGGCAGGCACAATGGGAAAAACTCACAGGACTGAGCCTGCACAGCCTCCTCTCCTCCATTCTGTGGAGGTGCACAGGATTTCCTCCAGGTTGGCTCGGGGCTGGGTGTACATCGAAGGTGTTCTGCACCATCACAGGCACGGTCTATATGCATGTGCTGGGCATTCCATGGCCCTACTGCTGTGAATTGCCTTGCAAGTCAAACAGATGCTTCAAAACAGAATGCATTAGGGAAAAGACAGTTTTCCATCAAAAACACACCTAATTTTTCTTGGATGTGGGATCACGTCTTCTGCTTATGCAAACTGCAGTATCTACACGGACAAAATTGTTATTTTTCTATTGCACTCATTTCTGCTATTTTTGCTTATGTACTACTCTGAATGCTAAAAAAGCCATAAAAGCTGGTATTCCAGAGGATGATGAAACACTCAATACCTCAAAGCTTCCACTAACACAGAAATTACACCAGGGCTAAGCACTGGCTGCTCTGTAGGTCGCACTTGTGTTCCTAAGCAAATCAACATTTCAGGAGATACATGCTTAAAAAACAAACTTCAAAAGTTTAATACTCACTGCATCCCTGAGGTCTCCAAGGCAGAGGTGAGGACCACCAGATCCTAATGCCCAGAAATCAGGGTGAGGCCACAGTCCAGGGGAGATGAAACCTGTGTGCAAATGGAGAATCCACTGGGTAAGTGAGGTGCATCTTGTGAAAAACAAATGTTACAAGTACTCTTGATATCTTCCCATGTGTAAAAGCAAAAGTGCAAGGGCTGGATTACCTGTGAGATGAGCCCAGTAAGAGAAGATGAAGCTGTGACAAATTAGGGGGTTTTTTTGTTAGGGAAGGAGCAAAGAGAATATGTCAGTTCTATTTTCTCTTGGCAGTCAGAGATAGGAAGAAGAAAAGGGGCATAGAACACCTCTCAGAGTAAGGATTTGCCACACATTCATCAGTTATCTCCACGCTGTCAGGAGGATTGTATTGACACAGATCACACTAAAATGAAATATTAATCCCCACCCCCCAAATATTCACTCATTTCAGGATGCTGAGCAATGGCCCATATTTTTGAAAGAGTTGGACTTGCCTAACTCAGCTGACATGACCCGGATTTGCCTAAACTCTGAACACAAAGCTGGACACTTCAACAGAGCACCCTTATCTTTGGTTTGATATGCAGTGTCCAGCTCTTCCAAACTGCACCTTTCCCACATCCCCTCAAACCCCATGAAAACAAAAAGCTGGGCACAGTCACTGATGCAGAGACCAGTCACGATCACAGTCATCCAGTCTCTCCAGCTAAATACTCAGACATCTCACAAGCAATATCTGAGTAGTGTTTTTAATTATTTTTGGATGGAAACCCCCTTTACTATATAGAGAATCTTAAAAAAGCCCTCTGAATTTTAAGGCAACCAGATTTCACTTTTTAGTATGTGCAATTCATACAGTGTCACACCTAGCCTATGTGACACCGCCGAGGAAGTGTTACTTATTTCAGTTCCTGACAGAAAACAGTAACTAGAGTTGCATCTTCTTTAAAAAAACACCATTTCCAATCTCAACACACTAATTCCTTGAAAATTTTCTTTTAAAAGACATGCAATAAACTAGTATGTGCAAGTTCAAACTTAATCAAGCCCCAAGAAGGAATGTCTGTCAGGGTAAGCCTCAACAAGAAACTAAAATTCATTTTGCAGAATGCAGCTGTGCCAATAACTATAGTTGGTAGAAAATGTCTTCTGGCCCTTGCCCCATAAGGCTTCCATTTTAAATTTTAGCCTTTAGTGACATGGAGCAGCTGACAAGTAGGAATTGGTAGTCTGGGAGCCAGGATTAGACCAAAGCTCCGAATGACCTAGAGGTACATGGATTTTGCCTAAAGTTCTGTATTTACATTAATGCACACTTACATTTGCCATCACCACAAACAGGATGAAGCACTCAAGTGCTAACCAAGAATAAGCTTTGTATGATGGCAGACAAGCAGAATCCATCCTTCACAAACTCCATTTGTCACAATCACTTTAGACCCGCAGCATGGGAAATTGTGGATACCATTATGTGGAAAGCTGGCATGAAATCACCAGTCTGTGTAGTATGTTTGTTTTAAAATATTGTTACAAGCTTAAAATCCATTTCCATTGCAGAACAACATTCTGGGGTTTGGACTGAATTTGGGCTCAAGCCAGTGGGCTTCGTTCAATCTGACAATCCATTAGTAGAGGCCTGATGTTCACATACGTTAACCCAGAGAAGGCATTTGTACAGGCATTGCAAACCCAAACTGCAGCAGCCTGCTTATTTCTGGTTCCTTCTGGGGGGCAGGGAAGGTGTGAAGCCACAGCCCCGATCAGACAAGGCCATTTACAAGAGCAGTGACTGTCCTGTCAGACATTTCCATGTCCCTCACGGGACAAGGCCTGGCCAGGCCCTGACGCACCAGCCGAGGGACACGCTCTCCCTGCCTCCGGAGTTGCGGGGCCTCCCCACCTCACATCCTGCCTGGAATCCCCCTCCTCTGCTGCCAGAACTGGCCCTGCCTCT